TTAAGATGTATTTTTGTATTGTTTTTTCATAAATAAAAATAACGCTGATTCCGGGCTTTCGAGGATCTTTCAATTTTTTCCCATGAAACGAAAAATAAATTAAAATGAGCTTAAACAACTTTAGAAAAGATGCAATAACAATCAGGAATATGTCTGCTGTTCGTTAAGGCAAGAAATGGCGTGTTGTTAAGGCTACATTTCATGATTTGTTTATCTACCTACCATAAGAAGGTACAAATGAAAACATCTGAAATTGAGAACGTTTTTCTATTTCAGCCTTTAAACATTTCTTATTTTCCTTTCTTTCTTTCTCAATTTCTTTCTTTCTTTTTTCTTTACTGAAATTGTGTGTGTTTTTCGCCTATTCCCCATGGTATAAACGGAATAGTCCATTATTCAAGATCATTTACAAAGAAGATAAATATAAATCATATTATTTAAAAATTATCTTTTTATTGGGCGGGGATATTGTTTAGTATTGACGATGGAGAATTTGTACAGTTAGTGTAGAATGTTAATTCGTTTGTCCACAATGATTCTGTCATTCTTTTTTATTCTGATGTCCACCTAGACACACGGCAAAATAATAGAATGCCATTAAAAGTTTCACTGTGTGCATGCATATAATTGTATTAATTTCTTTCTTTTCTTCTTTTCTTCTTATAATCTTTTCTTTTATTATTATTATTATTATTATTATTATATATATTTTGATTTATGGTCACACTGCCTACCAAGTCTGCAGGAAGACCTAAGTCAGGTAGAGGTGTTTAGAAAGATATATTTCATGATTTATTAATAACCATAATAACAAAAATAATCACATGGACAAAGTTCTTCTTAATGTGTGGGCTGTGACTTGTAAGAAAAACAATTTGTATTTTTTTTGGGAGATCCATCAAATTTTTTCAATGTGTTGTTGTGTTCCTTTTTTATCATTCCAAGCGCACCTACTAGAAATGGTACTATTCTTGTTTTCAATTTCCACATTTTTCGATTTCCAGGTCTTTATACTTCGATAGTTTTTCAAATTCCTTGATTGCTATGTTACAGTCCGCTAAGCAAGCCATATCAATGAGTATTTTTTTTTTTTTTGGATTTTTGACAATCATATCCGGTCTATTTGCTTCATTTTTCCTGTCAGTAAAGATGGCGTTGTTGTTTTATTATTATTTCCTTTGATTTCTGTCGTATACCCCTTTCCTTCCGGTCACCCACAAGACTCTTAAGGTCATAATAATAATAATTTTTTTTTACGGGAAGGAAACTGAAAGAAACTGGTAAGGAACATCACCCAGACTCGGTTACAGAGATTCGACTTGTAACAAATTCATGGTACTTTACAATAAGTTTACAAAAATAATGGATTAGTCCTCGAACATTCATCGTGATCAAAAACCACAAAAATATAAATTTATAGGTATGGCGTCTGCTGTCGATTGTAATTTGTCTTTCAAGATCTTCAAAAAAAAAAACTATCAAAATAATGAAATGTCAAAATTAAAATGTATTACATGAGGACATCCAATAATTAATGTTGAAAATTTAGATTCATCGAAAGGATCCGAAAAACATTCCTTGAAGGGATTCCTGGTGGTTCATGCCTTAAAGAAATTTTAAAAAAAAGATTGTAAAGTACAGCTTATACATTACGAAGATTTTTATCTATGTAAAATATGCGTGATCTTTGTTTTTTTTTGTTTTTTTTTGATGGGGGTGGTTACAAAAATGATCAGTGGAAAATGTCATGAAACTATTTCTGAATTTAGGTCTCTGGTTGGGACCCGCAATGAAATATTTATATAACGGAAATCAAAGGAAATAATAATAATAATAATAATAATAATAATAATAATAATAATAATAATAATAATCTACGGGCTTGTAATTATCTTTCTCTGATAATATGCCTATTCATATGTACCTAGGTTCTTATTAAAATATCCACGAATTTTTCATGTTACACGTCATTATTCCGCCATTTTTTCTAGCTCCAGCCTCGCTTTCAGATCTCTAGAAAATGAACAATAGAAAAAAAACAAACAAAAAAAAACGAAGACTTTCTCAATATAGCAAATGTCTGAGAAAAGTTATGATAATTAATATCTGCTTTTTTTTTCTTTCTTTTTTTCTTTTTTGTAGGAGTTGGGGGCGTCTCATTCTTTACTTCATTCTTCCAATCTTTCTTTTGCTTTATCTTTTTTTTTTTAACCAACTAGTAATGGCGACCGATTCTTGTTTTTTATTAAAATGGTAACCTGTTAATAATCTTTTTTTTTTTTTTTTTTTTTTTTTTTTTAAAGAACTCAAATAATTCGTTACCAAACAAAGGTACAAAAAAAAAAAAAAAAAAAAAAAAAAAAAGATTCTCCAAGATAAGTCGCGCTCGAAATTGATTGCTTTTAAGGTGAGCTAGTGTTTCATTCGGCTCTTGTGACTTTGGGAAATATACGACAGCGGCGCGGGGAGCTGAACAGTTTTCGGCTCGACCCACTGCCTCAGATCATTATTTTAATCAAGCGATTTCGGAAAGTGTGTCTCAACTGAAAACATTTTGTCACCCCTTCGTACAACAATGCAATGCCCGGCTTTCACGTTTCCAAGCACACTCGGCTGCAAAAGGACGGATTTTCCATCGCCCGCTCAGGCATATTTGTGTTTGTTCAGCTCACGCAGTGCCCGCCTGCAGTTTATACTGCAACTCTGCTGAACAGGCCTTAATTACAGGTGCGATCAACGGTTTGGAACAAAACTCGTGCGCCCAAAACCTCGGTCACGATGGCTTGAGAGTTCGTGCTAGAACAACCATTGACAGCCTCCAAACAGTTCTGTCTGCCCAATACCATTCCCAAATATCGTATTATACCTTAGTATGGTTTTTCAGGATTTTTCCAACGGTGCCTTGAGTTGGGTTCATCTCTCGAAGTGGTATATTCTATTGTTATATATTTTATCAACCTTCAAAAAAAGTTGGCCACCACGCACACATCTTAACAGTCACCCCATTTTTCTATTAAATTTTGACTACAGATTGCCTAATATTAATTGAAAAAAAAAGTCTCCTTTTTCACGTTTATCTGGCACGAAAAAAAAAACCAATTCTAATGGTATGTGACTTTATAATTTAGGTGGTATGTTGGCATTCAACAACGTCCTTTTTTTTATATATCTATGAAATCCATGGCGTCTTTGCAAAGAGAGTATAGTGGTCTCCCGTTGTTTCCTGTGACGTTTTGAATTAAGAATTGTTCTTCTTCTAGACTGGTTGCTAACCAAGCCCGGCTCTAATCTATTGCTGGAATGAAAAAAAGAGAAGGATTCCTGCCTTTTTTTAAGGCGTAAACCAGAACTGAACATAAACTTGTCAAGTACAGACGTGGAACTTCTGGCACAAGGCTATGGTTTCTTAATAAGAACAGCGCATTGGGCCGACATCGGGATTACAATTGCTCTCAGCAGTTTTAATCTTGAGTTAAAAGCTTGAGTCGTGTGCTGAGTAGGACTCCATTCTTCGCTAAATCGCCATCTGGGAGGACCTCACTATCCGCGGAACGGACAGACGCGAGTATCTCAGCATCTTTTTTGTTTTGCTAACTTTTTCCTAAATCAACCTTCTAACTATCGATAAACAGGTGTGAATTGAGAAAAGAAACATTAGATAGGTAGATATCAAACAGAATGAGATAGATAGATAGATAGATAGATAGATAGATAGATAGATAGATATTAAACTGAATAACATAGCTAGCTAGCTATTTAATATATTTTCATAAATAGATAGATATTAAACAGAATTACATAGATAGATAGATAGATAGATAGATATTAAGCAGGACAGATAGATATTAAGCAGAATAGATAGATATTAAACAGAATAACATAGATATAAAACAAAATGACAGATATTAAACAGAATGACATATATATATATATATATATATATATATATATATATATATATATATATGTAGATTACTGTCATTCCAACTAAATATGTTTTCTTAATCACTGATAGTGATTTTGAATTTCCATTATATTTAAATTAATATATAATATATAATTAATATATATATATATATTTTTTTATATATAATAGATTCTGTAGATAGAAACAGAATGAGATAGATAGATAGATAGATAGATAGATAGATAATAGAAATGTCAATGATAGATAGATAGATAGATAGATAGATAGATAGATAGATAGATAGAAAGAAACATGAATGAGATAGATAGATAGATAGATAGATAGATAGATAGATGAATAGATAATGAAATGTGAATCAATAAATAGATAGATAGATAGATAGATAGATAGATAGAAACCGAATGAGATAGATAGATAGATAGATAGATAGATAGATAGATAGATAGATATTAAGCAGAATGAGATAGATAGATAGATAGATAGATAGATAGATAGATAGATATTAATCTGAATAACATATCTAGCTATCTAGATAAATAGATAGATATTAAACAGAATTAGATAGATAGATAGATAGATAGATAGATAGATAGATAGATAGATAGATAGATTTAGGGAAAAGGCGTGAAAATTGGACTGATAAAGGCTGTAATGTATATTAAGATCAATAAGTAGACTGTTATCATTTCGGCCTTTTAATATTTGCTGACCAACTGTCGACTGATCTCTTTTCGATGTCACATTATTGGCTCGCGAAACAAAGATGAAATAATCGATGTTTTCTAATAAGTGTATCCCATTACAGGAAACGCATCGCATAAGATGGTCCGCATTGGTGGAACCTTTCAATTCAATGTTGACTTTAATCTCCTAAAAATGTCCTCAAAATTTTATGCTGCATAAAGAGCCACTGTTTTCAAGAAAGTTCAATTAGTCATTGAAATTTTCATAACGAAAGATAATACAAATCAAATACAGTTTTTTGAAGAAAAACGCTACTAGCCGTCGTCCGTCCAGAATCGTTGAGCGGACTTGTCTGGGCAGTAATTACAGAGAAGTATAGCTTGCTCATTTCAGTTACGCTTACTGTCTGTCGGCTGTCATTTCGTGGAGAAACGCAAGATACAAAGTCCAGTAAGAGGCAGGAAGAGGAGCACACTGTTTTTTTGTTTTTTTTTTTGTTTTTTTTTTTCTTTGTTTTTTTTTAGGGGGCATAATGTTTTTTTTAATTTCTCCCCTATGTAATCATTTCAAAATGGAGTTTATCCTGCCTATCTAGAATCAGTGTTGACTCGAAAAATAGCCGTGATTTGAAAAATTTTCTAAAAAAAAGAAAACAAAAGCAACCGACCTGATACAGAAACGATAAACCGCTTCATGGCCAATACTCTACCAAACAAGCTGATGTAGACAGACCCCGTACCCAACAGTGGCTACGTAGTGCAGGGTTAAAAGCTGAAATCGAAGGTTTTATTCTTGCTACACAGGACCAATATTTGCTAACTAGATATTATCAAGCATGCATACTTAAAAATTATGTTAGCCCAAAATACAGATTCTGTGATAAATATCCAGAAGCAATTGACCATCTTGTATCAGGTTGCACGGTATCTGCACCCACTGAATATGAAAATCATAGATAATGATTTAACTGATAAATCTTACTAATTTTTATTGCTGGAGGGTAGAACAGGTGGAATCATATAGATTCTTTACGGATGTATTTACGCGTCACGTGGTTTTTATAACGAACTGGAACTCAAATGGAAACTCAAAATTCCGATTAAAGATTTTATGGAATTTTACAAAACACACAATACTTTCTTCTTAACAGAACGGTTCCTTTAGAGTGTAATGTATCTTTGACGATCTTTAAAAAAAGTATCAAAATACAAGGATTTTGAAGTGTAAAAATTTGACACATGAGGACATCAATAATTCCAGTTGTAGTTGGAGCCCTCGGAATGATTGGAAAATGTCCTGATAGACTCGTTGAAGGGATTCTTTTGTAGATTTCGACTTAAATGCAAGAAATTGTATTCACAACACGGCTCACTATTTACGAAAGTTTTTTTTTTTATTTTATCTGCGTAAAAAATTTGAAATTTTATTTGTTTTTTTTTTTTTTTCAAAATGCTCGAAAAAATGTCGTAAAACCATTTCTGACCTTAGGTCTCTGATTGGGACCCGGTAGGAAATGAATATACAACAGAAATCAAAGGAAATAATAATAATAATAATAATAATAAGAAATTTTAAGAAGAAGAAGAAGAAGAAGAAGAAGAAGAAGAAGTAGAAGAAGAAGAATTTCAAGAAGAAGAAGAAGAAGAAAAAGAAAAAGAAAAAATTCCTAATAGAAGAAGAAGAAGAACAACAACAACAACAACAACAACAACAACAACAAAAACAAGCAGTAAAGAAGAAGGAAGAATTCAGAAAAAGAAGAAGAAGAACAAGAAATAAAGAAAGAGAAGAAGAAGAAAAGGAAGAATTTGAAGAAAAAACAAAAACGAAGAAGAAGAAAAAGAAATCCAAAGGAAATAGAAACAAAGAAGAAGAAAGAAGAAGAAGAAAAAAGAAGAAGAAGAAAGGTGGAAGAAGAAGAAGAAGAAATTTTTGACGAAGAAGAAGAATAAGGATAATAAGAAAAAGAAAGAGAAAGAAAGAAAGAAAATAAGAAGAAAAAAGAAGAAAAGAAAATGAAGAAAAAAGAAAAAAAGTTAAAAATAAAAACTTCTAAAAGGAGAGAAAAGGAGAAGAAAAGAAAAATAAAAAAAGAAAAAGAAAAAAAGAAAAAAAAGAAAAAAAAAAGAAAGAAAAGAAGAATTGTTTTTGAAAAAATAGAAGAAGAAGAAGAAAAAAGAAAAAAGAAAAAGAAGAAGAAGAAGAAGAAGGGAGAATGAATAAAAAAGAAAGAAGAAGAAGAAATCCATCAGAAGAAAAAAAAAAAAAGAAAAAAGAAGAAGAAAAGAAGCAAAGAAGAAGGTGAAAAATTTGTTTAAACAGAAAAAAGAAAAGAAAAGAAGAAAAGAAGAAGAAGAAAAGAAGAAAAGAAATGAATAGAAAAGAAAAAAAAAAAGAAGAAAAAAATAAAAAGAAAAAAGAAAAAAAAAAAAAAAAAGAAAATAAAGAAGAAGAAGAAAAAGAAAAAAAGAAAAAAAGAAGAAGAAGAAAAAAGAAGAAGGAAAAGAATTTTCTATTTAAATAAAAAAAAAGAAAAAGAAAAAAAAAAAGAAAAGAAGAAAAGAAAAAAAGAAGAAGAAGAAAAAGAAGAAAAATAAAAAAAAAGAAAAAAGAAAAGAAGAAAAGGATAAAAAAAAAAAGAAATCGGTGGAAGAATGAAGAAAAGAAGAAGGGATAAAAAAAAAAGAAGAATTTAAAATTAAGATAAAAAAAAAAGAAAAGAAGAAGAAGAAGAAGAAGAAGAAGAAAGAAGAAGAAGAAGAAGAATTGAAGAAGAAGAAGAAGAAGAAGAAGTTGAAGAAGAAGAAGAAGAAGAAGAAGAAGAAGATGAATCAGGAGAAGAAAAAAAGAAGAAGAAGAAGAAGGAAAAAGAAGAAAAAGAAAAGGGTTTTCAGAAGAAAAAAGAAGAAGAAGAAGAAGAAGAAGAAGAAAAAAGTGGAAGAAAAAAAGAAGAAGAAAGAAAAAATGAGAAGAAAGAAGAAGAAGAAGAAGAAGAAGAAGAAGAAGAAGAAAATGAATGAAAAAAGAGAAGAAAAAATGAAGAAGAAGAAAAAGAAGAAAGAAGAAAAAAAAAAAAAAGAAGAAAAAAAAGAAAAAGAAGAAGAAAAGAAGAAGAAAAAAGAAAAATGAAGAAGAAAGAAGAAAAGACGAAGAAAAGAAAAAGAAGAAGAAAAGAAAGAAATGAATAGAAACAGAAGAAAGAAAAGGAATTTGAAAAAAAGAAGAAGAAAAAGTGAAAAGAAGAAAAAGAAGAAAGAAAAAGAAGAAGAATGATAAGAAGAAAAAAAGAAAAGAAGAAGAAGAAGAATGAACTAGAAAAGAAGAAGAAGAAGAAGAAGAAGGGACAAGAATAAGAAAAAGAATGAAAAGAAAAAAAAGAATTGAAGAAGAAAAAAAGAAAAAAAAGAAGAAAAAAAAAAAAGAAAAGAAAAAAAAGAAGAAGAAGAAAAGAAAAGAAGAAAAGAAAGAAGAAGAAGAAGAAGAAATAAGAAGAAGAAGAAGAATAAGAAGAAGAAAGGAAAATGAATAAGAAATAAGAAAAAAGAAAGAAAGAAGAAAAAGAAAGAAAAAAAATTTAAAAAAAAGAAGAAAAGAAGAAAAGAAGAAGAAAGAAAAAGTTTGAAAGAAAAGAAGAAAAGAAGAAAAGAAGCTTAAGAAGAAGAAGAAAAGAAAAAAAGAAGAAGAAAAAGAAAAAAAAGAAGAAAGAAGAAAAAAAAAAAGAAGAAAAAGAAGAAAAAAAAGAAAAAAAGAAAGAAAGAAGAAAAAAAGAAAAGAAAAAGAAAAAAAAAGAAAAAAGAAAAGAAGAAAGAAGAAAAAAGAAAAAGAAAAAGAAGAAGAAAAGAAAGAAATAAAAAGAAGAAGTTGAAGAAAGAAGAAGAAAAATAAAAAGAAAAAAAATCAAAGAAAAAGAAAGAAAAAAAAGAGATGGAAGAAAGAAAGAAAAGAAGAAAGGAAAAAAGAAAGAGAAAAAAAAAAGAATAAGAAAAAGAAAAAAATTTTTTAAAAAAAAATAAAAGAAAGGAAAAAAAAAAAACGAAGAAATAAAAAAGAAAAAAAGAAAAAAGAATAAAAGAAGATAGATAAGATAAAAAAAAAAAAAAAAAGAAATAAAAAAAAAAAAAAAAAAGAAAAGAAGAAAAAAAAAAAAAAAAAAAGAAAAGAAAAAAAGAAAAGAAAGAAAAAAGAAAAGAAGAAAAAGAAAAAAAGAAAAAAAAAAGAAGAAAAGAAAAGAAGAAAAGAAAATAAAAAAAAGAAAAGAAAAGGTGAAGAAAATTTCAAGAAAAAAAAAAAAAAGAAAAAAGAAAAGAAGAAGAAAAGAAGAAGAAAAAAAAAAGAAGAAAAAAAAAAATAAAATGAAAGAAAAAAAAAAGAAAAAAGGGAAATGAAAAAGAAGAAGAAAGAATGAGGTGAAAAAAAAAGAAGAAAAAAAAAAAAAAGAAAAAAGAAAAAGAAAGAAAGAAAAGAAAAGAAAAGAAGAAAAGAAGAAAAAAAAAGAAGAAGAAGAAAAAAAAAAAAAAAGAAAAGAAAAAAAGAAAGGGAAATGAATAAAAACAGAAAAAGAATGAGGTTTTAAAAAGAAGAAAAAAAAAAAAAAAAAAAAAAAGAAAAGAAGAAGAAAAGAAGAAAAAAAAAAAGAAGAAGAAGAAGAAGAAAAAAGAAGAAGAAAAGAAGAAGAAAGGATAAAAAAAACAAGAAAAATGAAAAGAAAAAAAGAAGAAGAAAAAAAGAAAAAAGAAAAAAAAGAAGAAAAGAAATTAATGAAAAAAAGAAAAAATTAAAAAGAAAAGAAAAAAAAAAGAAAAGAAAGGATAAAAAATAGAATCAGAAGAAAAGAATGAGGAAAAAAAAAGAAAGAAAAAAAAAAAGAAAAAAAGAAGAAAAAAAAAGAGGAAGAAAAGAAAGATAGAAAAAAAAAGAAAAAAAGAAAGAAAAAAAGAAAAAAAAAAAAAAAAAAGAAAAAAGAAATAAAAAAAAGAAAAAATAAAAAAGAAAGAAAGAAGAAGAAAAGAAAATAAAAAAGAAAAAAAATTTGAAGAAGAAGAAGAAAAAAAAAAAAGAAAAGAAAAGAAGAAGAAAAAAAGAAGAAAAGAAGAAAAAAAAAAAGAAAAAAAAAAGAAAGAAAAAGAAAAAAAAAGAAGAAGAAGAAGAAAAGAAAAAAAGAAATAGAAAAGAAGAAGAAGAAGAAGAAGAAGAAAAGAAGAAAGAAGAAGAAGAAAAAGGAAAAAATAGAAAAAGAAAAAAGAATGAGGTGAAGAAAAAAAAAGAAGAAAAAAAAAAAAAAAAAAAGAAGAAGATGAAGAAGAAAAAAATAGAAAAAAAAAAAATTTGAAAAAGGAAAGAAAGAAAAAAAAAAAGAAAAAAAAAAAAAAAACAAAAAGAAGAAGTGGA